TTGACCTTAATTCTTCTGGATAAATGCCTACCACAGTTACCATGCCTATGTGATACAATGTGATACAATGCCTATCACAGATACCCATGCCTATGTGATAAAATGTGATACCATGCTTATCACAGATACCCATGCCTATCACAGTTCACAATAACCTAGTTGTGGAATCAACCTATAGAATGGATTTAAAAATTGTAGGATATATACACAATGGATTTTTATTAAACCATAAGGATGGACAAAATTATGTCATTGGCAGGAACATGGAGGTTTCTGGAAAGCATTACATTAATAAAATAAGTCAGAATTTCAAAGACAAATGTCAAATGTTTTCTCTCATATGTGGAAACTAGAGGGGAAAAAGAGGGGGAAAGGATGTTATGAGAGTAGAAGGAAGACGATTGGTATAGAGGAAGGGTATATATCTGAGTCAGGGAGAGTAAGAGTAGGTATTGGAGTGATACAGATCAAATTTTGTTATATGTGTGTATGAATATGCCACAGTGAAATTTCCCACCTTGTATAATTAATGTACATCAATAAAAATTTATCACACAGTGTACAGAGGGTTAATTCTAGTTTTCCTATTTTCTTCTGCTTTATTAATGAACTTTAAGCTAATTGAGATGAATTAAAATGGATTATGTAAAGTTGAATTTTAAGGTTAATTACACAATTTGTAGAACATGGAAGTATAAAGCATTTAACATGGAAACTATTTTGTAATAATAAAATCCAAGCTCTTCTCTCTAGGAATAGCATAAATTTAGAGAACCAAGTCAGAGGGAGTATCTGTGGCTAATTTGTGATTGCTGATCTCCTTACAGATAGAGTCAAGAATCAAGATGTGATATAGGTTTCTCAATGAATAGTGTTGTAAACATTTATCTGTTATACATGAAGGTATAAATATAAATGTTACACATTTAAGTGTTATACATGAAAGTTTTCTCAAAGTAATACTTTATTAACAGAAAACAGATATGCATGCACACACATATCACAAATATTCAATATTATTTCCTACATGTTATTTTTAAAAAACATGAAATGAATAAGGGGCCATCTTGCATTTGAGATGCAAAATATTTCTTAACATTAAGCTAGGTTGAAGACTCCAAAAAATAGTACATAATCATTCTTTGCATGAATATTTATGGATTACATTGATATTCACATTAACCTATTAGAAATAGGTCTGTCATATCTATGTTTTACTTTAAATACCTAGTCTTCATAGAGTCATTATCAACTTGTGGAAAATCCTGGTATTCAGTTATTCCTCACAGTAATCCAACTTACACATTTAATCATATATAGAACATAAAGTATGAAAAACTTGCTGTTCTTTACAATATATTTAGAATGTTATTATCTGCTAACCAATATGTCAAAAAGTGGTTCAAACTAAGATTAATTGATTGTTTTTCTAATTACTTATTTTTATTTTAAAAATATAGTTTTGGAGAAAATGTTTATACTTATCAAAGAACTAAAATTATACATATTTGTTTTATATTGTATATATATATATATATATATATATATATATATATATATACACACATACATAAATACACACAGACACCTATATATAACTCAGAATCACTTTTATTCATTTATTGTAAAATATATTCATTATTGCATTTGAAACACTTCTTTAAGATGTAGAGATAGAGTCGTTAATTCCTAATTTTCTTCTAAATACCCTTTGAAATTTTCTTCATTCTCATACAATAGCAGTGACCACAGGTTAATAAGTATTAAGTACTCCCACGCTTGTATATCAAAAAGAAAAATTTTGCCAGCTTCTCATCTATCAACAACCAAGATTCAAACAAATTTGTTTTGAGTTTATCTAGACTCATCCTTAAACTTACTCTGAACTGCTAGATGCAAAGGCAAGAATTACCTCCTAGAAGCTTAAGCACAAAGTTTAAAAGATAAAAGTTTAACTCTATAGGTAGGATACATAAGGAAGCACCTTCAGTTTTAGTATCTGGAGATCCAGATATTTATCAGGAAATAAGGCTTGAAACTGTTAAATAATAGAATTAGGTTTTAAGGTTTTTTTCCCAACAAAATACTAATCTTACCCAGTATAAACCTATTTGCATAGGTGTCAATGGAAGCTGATCTTATCTGCATCCACATTGGAGGGCTTTACCAGTGACCCAATTCTAGCTAGTTAAGTTTTGGAAGTTAACTTTCCACAATTTGGGAAAGATTTTTTCCTCCTCTTACAATGGAAATATAGGAAACCAGGTGAGATGGACAAGAATGAGGCAGTATGTCACTTAAACTGCCTCTGGTTGCCACATTGGAATAATGATAAAAACAAGTTTGAGATTAAAACATACTCTGTAAACATCAGAATATACAGAAGGAGGTAATCGCTGTAATTTGTAAGTAGCCAGTTGAGTATTTGCATAAACATACATTCATTTCTAAGCCCACCCTGTTACCATACCTTTATTTCTTTAGTGCTTACTGGGAACTAAACACAGGGGCACTCTACCATTCTACATCCCCAGGACTTTTTAGTGTTTACTATTTTATTTGAAGACAAGGTCTTGCTAATTTCCCAGCTTTGGGAAAATTCATATCCCCTTATCATATGATGACCACACAATTCATATAACAATCCTTCTATTTAGGAAAATGATTATTGAAAGGAACAAACCTTATATTTAATTCCAGAAAATGAAAAAAAGATGTCCAATTATTATACTCTATCTCATCATTGCTGGAAGTTGTCTCTATATTTATCTTTTCTTCACTATTCTGTATTTTATTTTTTAATCACTGTTCTTATCCAACTAAAATTTTTGCTAAACGTAAAAATTTGTTTTCATGAATTTGAATAGGAAAAAAAACAATTCAGTACACTTTGTAAAATATTTCCTCAACTTTATTAATCCAAACCAAATAGAACATCATTTTTCAAACACATATTAATAAAAACAATCACATTTTTTTTATGAGAGACAGTAAGTCCTTTCAATGCTTTAAAAATTAAATACTATGCTTAGTACTTTGGATAAAATGATATGCCCCAAATTGAGCATGTGTGGAATTTTGTATAAAGCACTAATCACTTAAGGACACAGCCACTTAATGTTTTTAAGAATAATATATCTACAAATTTAAAGAGATTTTTAATTAGCTACTATCATTTGGGCAATATATTTATTTCTAAAGTGTTTGAAATGTTAGGGCTTTTTTGTATTGTTTTTCACTAATATTGCATGTATTCATGTTTTAATGTTAGTCTTTGAAAATACTTTACACTCCTTCATAATGTGAACTTTAAATCAAATGAATATTTGTGTCCTTTCTCAGCTCAAACAAATGTCTGAAACATTTAAAACTATGTAATATATGAAATTCTAATTATTATTTTTCAGCATTACCATTGAAACTGTATGAAGAAAAATATCTGTCTATAGCTCATAACAACAAAAGATTAGAATGTCAAAACTGAAAGCATAAAGTTCTGTTTTCAATCCTTTTCATTAGTGAGCCATGCTTCACTAATGAATTCCTTGATTAAAAAACAAAGCCCAAATGTTTTCTGTCAGTATTTCAAGATTTCTTATTGCTGATTAAAAGTAAAAATATATTTGAGGCTTAGCTGATTTTTTTAAAAAAAGTTTTTAGCAGGTTTGAAAATTTAGCATGAACATTGTCTCTAAAGCTTCATTGAAAATTGTATCTGTCACTGCTCCACATAGGCTATAAATTCTGTTGAAGTGTAAAAGTACAGATTCAAAACACAGTGTTTTTCTATAGTGGATATATATTTTAGCACACTAAAATTCACAAACCTTCATGAATTATCTTTTCTATGAATTAGAAAGAATGATTTAGAAGTTTTTTTTAAAGGAGGCACAGTTGTTGGAGGAGATGTCACAAGAGAACAATAGAAGTGAGAAAATGAAAGGAGATTAATTCTTTATTTCAAGAAGGTCATCAATCAGCAATATCAACTGAGTATTTATAAGCAAACAGTGGCTTTCTATATTATTTGTATGAGTATGAAAGTGCTACAGTAAAAGCAATTAATTTGTACAATAGGTGTTAATAATTATAATAATTAAAATAATAAACAAAATAAGTGTTTCAGGTTAAGAATGCCCTAAATAATAATGTAAAGTGTATAGAAACTAATTCCAAGAAATAAGCTATATGGTTTCATTAATCATACATTTATAAATTTACAAAATTAAACTATCAAAATATGGGCTGGGGATGTGGCTCAAGCAGTAGCGCACTCACCTGGCATGCGCGGGGCTCTGGGTTCGATCCTCAGCACCACATAAAAATAAAATAAAGATGTTGTGTCCACCAAAAAATGAAAAATAAATATTAAAAAATTCTCTCTCTCTCTTTAAAAAAATAAAAATAAAAAAATAAACTACTAAAATATTTTGCTCAAGATGTCCTCAAATTTTATTTGAAATATTATGGCTTATGAAAATATCATTCAGAAGGCAAGGGAGGTTTATAAAGAAATTTAAATAATATAGAATATTGATGTAAAAAGGTGACAATTATCTGGTTTATTCTGGTTTCAGGTATTCTCTATCATTTCTTCATAAGCCACCCCCACCAGAATAACAAAAATAACATAAATCATAGTTTTGTATCAATATTTTATAGAAGCAATAAATATAAGGATGTCTTTAGGAAATGTTCCTATTTCCATTGACTTTTTAAAGTCTAAGTAAAGCAGTTGAAGAATAATCATCTAGACATTCCCTGCCTTCCAAAGAGATTCTACAATGAAACCCTCAAATTCAAAGTAATAAGGCCTAACCATTTACATGATTATTTCCTCTGTGACTATGCCAAAGGAAATAAGTGCTCAAGCTTGGAATATGAGGAAAGAGTCACATATGAGCCACTTCATAAAACATTATGCTAATATGGATAATGTAAACCCCATGTATTAAATATTTAACTCCAACCTAAACTGTATATTCTTTCTGACTCCACAGATTTCAGTTGTGTTTGCTATTATGGAGATTCCTATCTAGAATTTCAGAATGTGTTTTTAAATCCACAAAATAACATCACCCTGGAATTTCAGACCTTCAGTCCTTATGGACTCCTGCTGTATGTCAAGCAAGAATCAAATTCAGTAGATGGATTTTTTATTCAATTATTTATTGAAAATGGTACTTTAAAGGTAAGTCATTCAGATCATTTATTAAAGAAAATTTGAAAAAGTTGGTTGACTGCCTGAATTAGTGGTTATTGTTGAAATAAAATTTAAACATTTCTTTATCTATTATACTTACCAACAGGCTGTCTCTGTTCTAGTGTGTGTGTGTGTGTATATATATATATATATATATATTTTTTTTTCTGTTTAGTAGTTATATGTATCAAAACAGTATGATTTGAATTAACTTGAATTATTTTCTTTTCTTTATGTTTTTATGTTGACCACTTTTATGTTTTCCAGTTTCCCACTCTCCCAAATATAATCATTGTTACCATTTTTTATAACCTCAAAGGGCAGGTGTGCTCTGGGGACCCTTATGTAAATAATTCCAAGATCCTTTCATAGTCCTGAAGAAAAAGACTATTTTCATGATAATATTAACATACTGTTTATCTTTTTCATTCTCACTGTCATAAGTATACATTGGAAATTTTCAGAGGATACATATTGTGTTCTTATATTTTTTTAATTTTCACAATGACTTTCAATTTTTAATTTTGTGAATATTGACAGGCATAACCCAATTAAAAAAAAAAAAAAAACTCTTTGAAGGTCTTAATTTTTAAGGGTGCAAAACAATTCTGAGGTTAAAAAATTGAAATTGCTGACTGAACACATGGTATATTTTATAATTTTCTTACTGTGGGTCCTTTTGATTGATACATAATAACTATATATACTTACAGGTGCCTTATGATGTTTGATATAAGCATACATTACATAATAATCAAATCAGTGAAACTAAAAAGAACAGAGATTTCAAGATAATTAGAAGAGAGGGTTTTCACCATTTTTCAAAGGAACAGTAAATGTTTGAAGTAAAGGGTCACAACATTTTTCAAAGGCCCAAGATTACACAAATAATAAAATTTAAAAGCCAACTTTGATTTTAAAGTATATGTTCTAAGCCTAACATTATTGTATCTTAACAAATTATTCACATGAGTATTCTAAAATTTACTTTAGTAATGTTATTCTAATCATCATTGCTATAAATTAACTAGCTCAGCAGTCCTCTATAGGCAACAATAATTGTATTTTTCCTACCATTCCTTTCATGATGTGATATATCACCATGAATTTCCATGAATGGTCAAGGTATACCTTAAGCTTCTAGTATATTGATTTTGTTGAAATGTTCATTTTTCTTAAGTAATAAAATACATTCAGAGAATTTAGCACAATAGCTGATACAAATATCAGCTCAACATAGCAGCATAAAAGCAGAAATATTTTGATTCATTCTTGTATCTGTTTATTCATTCATTGAACTATGTAGCTATCACTTGTCATTATGCCAGGTTCTCAAGATTCTGGAGTAAACAAAACACACTTGGTATTATGTGTTACCTACTAAAAACAACTTTATGTTGTTTTTAGTAGATAACACATAATACCAAGAACAGAAAAAAAAAAGAAATAGAATTACATAATGAATGAAATAATATAACTAATCACCCTGCATCAATCTGATCCTCTAAAAAAAATTATCTTGTCTCTGCTCTACAGCACTTTTCTCATTTAAGAGAGAAATCTCCTTTTCCCTTTGAGATGAAGCAAAAATACAGCAAATATAAGAGATGGTAACTCTCATATAATATAGAGAATTGAGAATTGGTCATGTCAGAATGTTTCCCTGCAGCGTGATTTTTTTTTTTCCTGCTAATACAACTGCCATGACCAAATTCTAAAACAGCTAGTTGCTTTCACCACTGAGGACATCTCTAATCAAAGGCAGCATGAGTAAGTACCAGAACCTGTAGGAGTTGTGAATAAAAATGTTTTAAGTAATAATGGAGTATGAAGGCATGTCACTATTTACACTTTGAAATGTAAAAAAATTAACTTGTAATATGTTAAACCAGGACATTTAGGAACTATAAAACTAATGGTTGAAGAAACTTGGAGAATTTCTTTTCCTTAGATTTTACAACAAAGAAAATATAAACTGGCATGTCTGTAATAATAATACTACTATTTTTTGAACTGCAATTATTGGACAATTTTTATTTTAAGAAAAGGTAGTAAGATTTCATAGTCTTGGACTGGAGCTGAGCTCTCAGGGTTTGATTCCCAGCTCTGCTCTCAGGAGCTTGGGACTTTGTATATATTTTGTGCTTAAGTTTACTCACTTGTAAAATGTGTGGAAGAATAAATATATATTGTGATATTTAAATTATAAAATAAATACATATTGTGAAATAAATGTCAAAAAGAATAAATTCTTACAGACACATAGAATGGTGTCTAGTATGTAATAACTGTATGTGAGAGTAGTTAGCTGTTTTCTCCCTGCATCTTAAAAATAACCTGCAGACAAACTAAAGCTCTCAGAGAGTGACTGTATTACACATGCTCTTCTGTTTTAAAGATAGTTCATCAGGAATTTCACTCTTTTATAAAAATCAAAGAATCCATATCCTTTTCACTTCACATTATTCTTGCTTAAAATGATTTAGAGGAAATTTCAGTGTTATTCAACCATGATTTTTAGATTCCTCTGTTCTATGATGATTTGTGAGACTGTTCTCCAATTTCCACACCAATTTTTACATATAATCATAAGGGGATTGCATTTACATTACAGTTTTCACAAAGACATATTTATGGCTGCACTTTTAGAGAGATCATAATTTAAGGCTTATTCAAATTCTAGAACCGCAGAGCTGTTTATAAAGATATTAAAAGGAATTTAAGTTTTTAGGAAAGTTTAATATGTCAAACTTATTTTTTTAAAAATATTTTACTCATACCAAAACTATAAGTAGGTATATTCACTGTAAACATTCAAATATCGGCAATTGCACTTATTAGCTGTGCAATAAATCACTACACATCATTAACTAATGTCAAGTCACTCACCTCAGTTTCCACCTTTAAATACTGCAGATAATAGATGATATCTCCTTCACAAATTTTTGTTTTTTAATTTGACACTTGCATACTCCTTTTATAATTCAATATATAGAGTAATAATTTTATAAACAGTAGTTATTGTATGTATTTATTTATATACATATATATAATACTGAAGCTATTTTAATAAAAGGTAAAATCAAGTAATATTAATAGAATTGTATGTAAAGTATCTAATAAATGTTTAACTTTGACATTCTTGAATATAACAGAAAAGTAATAATTTAGTAATGACTAATAATTTTCTAGTATATTTGAACAAATTAAGACCATCCCACACATATATACTTTAGTTAATACATTATCACTTTAGCTCAAATAACTATCTTAACTGAGTTTATAAATTTCAAAGTATTAAACATAAAAAGCATATGAATTATTACAAAATTATTAAAAGTTCTAAGTGTTCTGTCTTGGACACAAAGTAAGAATTCAATAAATAATAATGTTTACTTAGTTATACATGGCTTGAGAGGAATGTACAGCAAAATGGTATGAAATTTTTTTCTACAAAGTGCATATCTGTATTGAAGATTTTAATGTTGCTTAAATACTTCTTAAAATCAATTTACAGTTTATAAATTGATAAAGGAAAGGAACTCTTTGCAGTGGATAAATATTATGAAAATCAAAATATAAAGCAATATATTTATATTTGTACTACTTATGTGAAGATTTACATATACCACCTGAAATATAGCTCAATGCATAGGAGTTATGAAACACTAGGCAACTGTTTCTTAACATAAATGTGAGTTACAGATACCGTGTAGATAGAATAAAAATCTTTAAAGTCTTTGGGAAAAACAGCCCCAATATAATCAATATTCTTACAGGCATATGCTTGCTTCGAAAATTAATAAGTCATTGCCCCCCCACCCATAGGATTAGCAGGGGTACCTGCTCATTCATACCCAATATAGACATGGTTTCCCTCTCTAGACCATGATTTAGTTGGCCCATTAGCAGTCATACTACAGATGGTCCTAGATGCCCTCAAGCATCAGAAAGCTTGGAAAGTGTGGTTCACTTTTAAAACCTTTAAATCCCTCTTCCTGTGACATTAACATTGGCCTCTAGATTGTATTAACTAGTCTTTGCATTGTTTAACTGCTAGTGTGTGCTTACTAATAACATTTGTTTCTGCTAGCAAAACAGGAAACCTTTATCAACCATGTTCTGCAAAACACTAGAAAAGATTGAATCATACTAGAAGACTGGCAACTGTTTGTGTTGAGTGAGTTTTACATTTGAAATTTAGCACTCTTTCCTTGCATATTTGAGGTGTTACTTTTCTTAAATTTCAAACTTATTGTTTCCCCCAAAGCAACAAGAAAAGTATTGGTAAAGATTGTGTCAACCATAAAATATTAATTTCATAGTAAAAATCTGTTTGACAGAAACATATGTTTTTCTTCTAGTACCACTTTTTCTGTGCTGGTGAAACAAAATTGAAAAGCATTCACACTACCATTAGAGTGGATGATGGACAAAGGTATAAACTGTTTATCAGGTAAGATACACTTGTTTTCTACTTAATCTCATAAGTAGCAGATTATTATTTTGGTTATTGTCCTCCTCATTTTAAAATGGAGGTTATCCTTATTAGTATTTACGTGTGCTTATATGTGAATTAATGTTTACCAAGCTTTTCTATATATCCTAAAAAAGTGTACTAAGTAAAGATTGTTATAGGGGTTATATTGTCAACAAACTTATATAAGCATATTACAAAGAAGCTCTGAAAGCCTCATATTATTTCCACTTAAGGAGTTATAGCAATGAAATAAGGTGGTGTTTTCTTTCAATAAATAAAATACAATGTATTCAGTGTAAAAATTTGAAATATTCAGAAACATAGAGAAAAAATTTACAAAGACCCATTATATCACAAACCAGAAAAATTAGAGAATGTACATTTCTGATATTTCCAAAAGCTGTATCAGAAGGCAACCCCCCAAGTACTTGTCAAATCAGCTATAAATCAGGTACCTATCTAAAAACTGTAACATGATATTTTATTCATTCCTACTTTTATTTTATTTTACTACTTATACTTACTGGTCTAATTCTGAGGCTGGTGATCCATTTTGATTTGATTTTTGTGAAGGGTGGGAAATAAGGGTCTAGTTTCATTCCTCTTATATGTAACTAGTTTTTCCAGCACCGTTGCAACATGATATTTGTTTTTAACTTCACTTTTTTATTTTTAGCAAAATATATCTAATTTAGATTTAATGTTTTTTCATCATGAGTTTTACCACTCCCCAGTACTTTCTATTTTTTGAGACAGGGTGTCTCTAAGTTGAGGCTGGCCTTGAACTTGAGTCAAGTTCAAGTTCAAGTTCCAGCCTCCTGAGAGGTTGGAATTTCAGGCATAAGCCACCACACCTGGCTCAATATATGAATTTTAGTGGGAAATAATTCAGCCAAAATAGCCTTGTGGCAGTTTGAAAGTTGAGGCTAATAGAATGTAGGCAAATTTCTCAAGATCATATTGCTCATCAGTGGGGAGCAAAATTAGAATCCAGATCTCCTGCCTCCTAACCTGATGAATGTTTCCACTATGATATGTTCAGTCAGTATTTTTAAAGTGACCAAATATCATTTGAAGTCTTCTTTAAAGGAAACATTAAGTGCAAAACATTTAAAAATTTTAAGAATACCTATTTTTCACTGTTCTCATTACAATGCCACTTTTAAGAATATATATCACCCCCCAAAAAAATCACTTTTTTTTCCTCTTTTTCAGTGTTGGGGATGGAAAACACAATGGTGCTTTACCACTAGGCTACAACCCCAGACCTTTTTATTTTTTTACCTTGAGATGGGGTCTTGCTAAGTTTCCAAGTGTGGCCTCAAACTTGTGATTCTCCTGCCTCAGCCTCCCAAGTCACTGGGATAACAGACTGAGACACTATGCCCAGCAAGATCATCTTCATTTATGTGTTATGTCACTATGATAATTTTTCCATTTACATGCATTGTTGTGTTTAATTTGTATTAAACATAGCTGACATTCTTTTGATATTGGATCTAAATCATCTAAATTAAGAAATATTTCTTTTCTGGCCATTGGTTTGTCTGAAATATTGTAACAGAAAAACTTACAGAAATATAGTCTTCTCTATGATTACCCTTCGTAAATAGCAAGAGTAGAGTTCCATTAATTTATTTTCTATGCTAATAAAAATGTTATTATAAGATAAAAAGGGGGAAATCTTTAATTTTAAGTTAAACGCAGTCAAGAATTCTGTATTCACAATTTTTTGACCATTAACAGACACTTATATAAATAGTTGCACACATTTCACTCTCAACTCTGCACTTTTCCATCTCATTTCTGCTGAAGGATGACATTCCCCTGATATCTGAACAAAGAAGGGACCTTCCTCACATGCTCTTCTAACTGTGGGGAAAAAAGAACAGCAAGATCCTATGATGTAGTTCTTACAGAAAGCACAAAACAAACATACTCCATGAAAAACTAGTGAGCTTATTATTTTTTAGAACTAGGAAAAAGACAAGCTGTTCTACAGAGTTACATGGTCCTTTAAAAATATATATATGATTACTTAAAATAGAAAACTCAGGGAGGAAAATCTGAAGTATTTAAAATCAGGTGAAATATAGAGTTGTAAAATGAAGATATTAAAAGTATATATACTCATACCACTTTAGTGAGAAATTAGCTATAGCTATATTTTAATGAAAGGGAAAATGACAATGAGAAAAGCAGTGGTGTTAGACTACGGAGCAATAGCTTATGGTACGTTCCAGAAGTAAAGCAGAGCCCAGCACTGAGGTACACGCCTGTAATCCCCAAAACTCGGGAGGTTGAAGAATGAGGATTGAAAGTCAGCTTTAGCAACTCATAGAGACCTTCAACAATTTAGCTTCACCCTGCCTCAAAATAAAATGTAAAGTTGACTAAGGGTGTATTTCAGTGGTTGAGTGCTTGCCTAGCACATACAGACTCCAAGTACAATTTCCAGTGCTGAAAAACAATTAAATAAAAAGAAGTAAAACAGAAATGGGTATGTATCTGTCACTCCAATTTTGAACACCACACATATATTTAAGCCCAAGTTACTAAGAGAGTTTGAGATGTACCTGAATTTTCCATCAAACACAAATATGAAAATGTGATGCTGTAGTTTATCCAGGTCTGTTGGTATATTTATAAAAGTTTTAAATACATTGTATAATAGTTATATTGTTAATATATACTATTTAATATATACAGTATGGCATTGATTGTACGATAACATATAATTATTCATTTATACATAATTATGTTATAAAAACTGATCATGCATTTAATAATGGACATGTTGGAAAATTTTCTTCATTTAAAGTCACTACATCCATATACTTTGTCCTTCAAGGAAGGTAAAATTTAAGACTCAAAAATAGAATTAAGTTTAGTTTTTCTGACCTCTTCTGCTATGGGACTTTGAGGGATTTGGAGGGGTTTTGTTTTTCTTTTCTTAAATGCTATCATTTAAAACCAGTACCTTGAATAAACAATACATCCTTCATTTGTGTCTTATACTTAAACTTACAGTCAACATCCTGATTTGTAAGTAAACTGCAGGAATTCTAGTAGAACTTTCTCATAGAGAAATTATTAGTTTTGCTCTATTGTTGGGATAGGTAGGCAGTTTCTTATTTGTGAACTGTACAAAGTCAAGCTAGACTCAGAGAGGACATCCTCAGTTATCCCTGAGAGAATCATTTATAAGCTACCCTTTATGTACAGCCTTGTGAACAAATAATAAATTACACACAATTTTGGGGGAAAAAGAACATAGTGTTTTTGTGAACAGTGAACAATCTGTAGGAAGTTTGACATGTATGATGAAATCCCCACATCAACAAATATTTTCTCCAATAATATAGAACTGAATACAAAGCCTGAATCCCTTACATTTTGTCTATTAGATGATGACAGGAGAAACATTTTCCTTAATATGTAATGGTATCAAAAAAGAAGAAAAGGGAATTATTTTAAGATTATTTATGTAGGAAAGAGTGAGAATAAAGTATAAAAGTGCAGTGATAGTCAGGTAGATCATAAAATTCCACAGTGAGACCTGGGAACAGCATCACAAGCAATAGACATCTGTATTAAAAGCAAATAATATGAACAAAGAAGTGTTTTCTTCTTAAAGTAGGGTACAGTAGTCTACAGTATACAACATTTCTGGGCTCTCCAGATCCACTGTACAATCTCTTCTTCTTGGCTCTGGTTTTTTGAAACTGACTTATGTTGATTATATCAGTGCGCTCTATTGAGGGTTAAATTGTGATCCCACAAAATTAATATATTAAAATCATAACCCCCTAGTACCTCAAAATATGACCTTATTTGAAGATAGGATCATTAAAGAGATAATAGAACTACACGGAGGTCATCAGAATGCCTTTAATATAATATGATTAGGATCTTTATGAAAAGGGGAATTGCAATACTCAGACAAAATTTTCAGAGAAGGAAGACAATGTGAAGTGAAGGACAGAGTCCTGGAACAGATTCTATTCTCAGTCTTCAGCAGAATTCAAACCTGACAACACCTTAATCTTAAACTTATAACCAACAGAACAGTGAGACAACAAATTGCATTTGCTTTAGCCACTCAGTTTGTGGTACTTTGTAAGACAGCATCACCAAACTAGTATGGTGTCCCCTTGACCTTGAGCTTTCTGCAGTGACAGGAAATGAGAGGAGGAGGAGAGTGAGGGCAAGACTTCTATTCACTTGACCTGAGTGTGCCCAACAGGCTGCTAGACTCTTCCTGGCACTCTCCTTTACATTCTGATCACTCCTTACTTCCTTCTAGTCTTTCCATGTAAAGGTGGTATTAAAGTAACTCTGTTGACATCCATTAAATATGGATTCTCCAATCTCCAACCCCCTCTTTGCAAAAAGCTCATTCATTCAAACATATTTAAATTAGGTTAGTTGAAACGTGCAATGTGTTTCTACTGAGAACTCAAGTCTCCTTAAATCAGCATGGTAGAGAATAGGTGGGCTAGAAATAACACATCCCCCTTTCTTTTGCACTGTGTTCTCTAGAATTTAGTCATGTGGACACACTGAATGGGAAAAGCACCTAGAAAAATTTTCTAGCTTTGCATTCAGGAGGAAAAACATCAGTTAAAACAATGCAGGATAGATATGATAAGAAATATTTCTAAAAGAGAAATAAATAACTGTACTTTTAGGATTCAAACAAAATATAATAAGCAGTACTGCACTGCATATAAAACCTTAGTTAATATATATGCTACTTATTTATTAAATAATTATATCTTGGTCAAAAATGTACACAATATCAAATTACATATTATAAACAATTGCATTATTTTCTTATATTTCTAATATTTAAACTACCCAACATTTTCATCAATGTTGGGACACTCTGCCTGAAAATGACAAATTATTTCATCTTTACACCATAAAATTTAAGTTTCTGCTGTGTTTGGTAGAGAATTTATCTAAAATGCAGC